CGCACTCATGCTGCCCTTGGCAGAGGTCTTCACGAAGCGTCCGGGCTGCATGTGCTGGACAACGTGCCGGCACAGACGCGTCACCAGTCGCTGCACGCGTGGCGAGCCCAGCTTGAGCAGGGAAAGCAGGTTATGGATGCTCTCCGACGAGGAGAAGAAGCGCTGCATGGTCGCTGTGCGCTTCAGCTGGTAGAGCAGCGCGAGCAGTGAGTGGTGGTAGTCGTCGTCGAGGTCGCTCGACCTCATCGCTTCGCTGGCGGCCTCTTCCTCCCTGCGGTGGCTGCCGAGCTCGGTGAAAAAGATGGTCCGCAGCACGGCGTCCTGTAGGTCTAGTATCTGCTGGGCTTCGTCCTCCCCGAGGTGGTTGTTCTTGAGTGTCAGCGGCGTGGGGGTCCACGCGAGGCATCGCGCGGCCGAGAGGAGGAAGAGATCGCGCGCCACCCGCACCACGCGCTTCTTGTGCGCGCGGAGCTTGCTCGCCGCGACTGCCTCCGGCGCCGGGTTAGCCGTGGAGCTAGAAGATGACGATGACGATGAAGGCTCCTGGCGAAGGGCGACGTCGTGGGTGGACAGCTTGTGTAGGACGGCGTGGAAGTCGCTGTTGCTGAAGAGGGCATAGTCGAACATGCGGTAGTCGAGGGCGAGAGCGTTGAGAACGAGCGTGTGGAACTTGAGCTGCTCGGCCTCCCGGGAGACATTGGTGCCCTCCTCCTGCCCGGCCAGGCTGCGCAGGAGGAACCGGAACAGTTCGGCGAAGCTCTGCCGCACGGCGAGGATCGAAGAGCGCGAGCAGCCTTCGAGCCGGTCCGCGTAGTGGGTGCCCCGTTTTGCCTGCAAGAAACGAGGGATCACAGGCACCTCCGGTGAGTCAGCCGTTTGCTGTTTGTTGTTCCAATTGATGGATGATCAGTCCGCGTGCATCTCGGCAACGCAAGGGTACCTGAGCGAGCGGCCGAGGTGCTTGACGATCTCTCGCTTGGCCGAGGGCAGAGAGCAGCGGTCCAGAAGGTCGATGAAGACGCGCAACCACGACAGCGCGATTGGAGCGGAGAGTGTGGAGTCGCACCAGCTGCTCCAGCGGCTCCAGCGGCAGGAGAA